GAAGGATCCATTGGAAATAATATAGTAACAACATATTTCTTCAAAGATTTTCAGCATCATGTACTGGAATTCTCCAAATCCTTCCTTCAGGGCTTTATATGTGGCATTTCCCTTGGTGGTGCTGTTTTTGTCAAAAAATGACATTTGCTTTGGCACCTTCTTCGTAAGATTTCATAAATAAGGATATTTAATAGGAGAAAAAAAGCCACAGAAGCCCCATTTCTTTCTAAAGAAAGCTGAGGTATAGAGAGATACTGGGAAGAATTCCAGGTCCCCCATGCCGACACCTATTTCGGATCTCCTATTAACAGCTTAGCTAGCTGTAACCATTCTCTTTCCAAATGTTCAGAAATTTGCAACCCCAATTTTCTGAGTCAGATTAACAGCTCCTAAAGGCAAAACCAGACATCCAAAATGCCTCTCTGACTCAGCCCCGTGTGATGGCAGCATCAATCAACTCTGAATACGCAGAACACGATTCATCATCTGTGAAATCGGAATGCTGCTGCATTCATGGAACAACGAGGGTTTGCAGAAGAGGTCTCCCTGACCCTACTAACTCTGGTCTCTGCGGAAAAGGGAAGGGAGGGGCAGAAGTGAAAATGTTGCATTATTGATCTGACAAAGCAGTTAATGCATGGAAATTAAAATATCCTGAAGTTACAAAACAAATTATTCAGAAGAAACTGAATTTCTGACATCAACAAAGACTGGGACAGAATCCCCATGGGAGCATCCATTTCCTTATACTAACAGCTTCAACCACAAGAGTTAAAAACTCAGTTTCATCTCAGCAATAACAGCTCCTATTCTTCATTCACCCATCTAGAACCAAAAAAACCCATAAATCAAAGTTGTTCTTCAGAGTTTCAAACTCATTTAGCCTCCGTTGTAAAAAGAATCACCATTATCAAACTGAAAATAACTTCATACCTGTCAAAAATATTAAAGCAATAAATAAACTACTTTGAAGATGAACTGTGCCTAAACTCTAAGGGAATACAAAGCAACTATATGACAAATTATCACTGAAAGAAATACATTATTTTTAATATTATAAACTGAAAGTTATAATAGCATCACTGCATTTAAAAACAAGTGTGCAATTTTTAGGAAATAAAGTAAACATTCTGCAGAAGTTAAGCTGTGCTCATGAAAAAGCCAAAAATACATGGAAAAACAAAGGGTATATTCCTGGTCTGAGTTGAATGTACAAAAAAATCAGGAACGTTTTTAAAAAAAGTGTTTCTAGATTTACAAATGCTATCATATATATTTAGAAGAAAGCAGCTAATGTTCAGAACTACCGATACAGTCAATATGAAATGGATGTTTCTCACACTAATTGTAACAGCACAGTGGTTTTGGTTGCTCAAATACTGGATGTCACTCATTGTATGATAAGATACTGTGAGTCTAACTGACAGTGAACTGCCTAAATTTGCTACAACAAGGAGAGCATCGTAACGAACATGTATTACCCCTGCTTTCTTTCATGAAGTCCCAAAAGTAATTTAAAGTGGACAGCTGTACATTCACAAGATCAAGAATACCTTTGTAAAAGTCACAGGTATGCTAGCATCCAGCTGTACGTGATCTGCAAGTTCTGTAAACTGCTGCTGCTGTTTCTGTAATGTCTCTAGCAATCTTGTAATTTCTTGTTTGGCCAATACTACTCTGCAGTCATCCTAAAAAGACAAAGAAAACAAAAGCACACCTTTTCTTCAAAAATGACTTAAAATAACCAAACACAATGTAAATATGATGGCTAGAAATAAAGCATTTTAAATAGAAATACTCTAGTTAAAGAAACCCACGTTTAAAAAAATAGATCTATTTAAAATTGCAATACAAATGTGAAGGCCTTGTCATTCTTCCTCAATAGTAATAAATACTAAATTGTTCTGCTGTTTAATAAAACTTTTTTCTTTGACCTCTTTGTCCTGTAGGAATAAGAACCTAAATTGTAAGAGACAGTAATGTAATACACAAAGAATACTCGTATCATTCACATATCATTCCAGCAGTAGAATAGAGCAGCTGTTTTGCAGCACACAGAAAGACACAACACAAAAAGACTGATATCCATCCATTAATGATGGGAATGTTTGCACAGTTAAAAGTACATCTGACTAAGCAACCAGACACTAGCACTAAACAACAAAAATTACAAATAACACATTAATGTAGTAATTCAACCTGGTCTAGTGCAAGGTGTCCCTGCCCATGGCAGGGGGGTTGGAACTAGATGGTCTTTAAGGTCCCTTCCAACCCTAACCATTCTATGATTCTATGAATTTCTCTGCTCTGTTTGCTACTTGCTATATATATAATTTACTTCTTGCTATCATTAAATTAAGTGAATAATGACCAAGCAGATACTCTCATATAGCCACTTTCTTCACACATTTAATATGTTGAGGTACCCATATTACAAGTGCTACCAGAAGTTATTTAATCCTAAAACATTTTTTCCTACTGTAAATTGCTGTCATACTGTAATTTACTTGCAACTGTAAAATCCTTCCCATCAATCTTGCAGGTTTTTTTTCATCTCTCCTTCCCACTATCCTCACAAATAAACAGAAATTACTCCAGACGAGACACATCACAGGATTTCCAGCAACCGGATGAGTTGATGCTTTTGTACTGTTTATCCTTGTGTAATACCCCCTTGTAATGAATAGTTCCATCTCATGTTACACCATTACTGTTTTAATTGTAAAGGAAGTAAAAATGCAGTGTACCATCTAACCTTTGCCTAAACTTAATCTGCAGTTCCGGTATATCACCATAGGTTACAGCTCACTTGCCAACCTACCTGTTGTAAAGTCTTTTCACAATGAAGGCAAGCAGTTGAAACCTGTGACAACAGGATGGTCATGTCTTCTTGCTGTTGCCTAAGCCAAATCAACTTCTCTCTCACGTGAGCATCAACAACACTCAGAGCCATTTCCTCCTGACGACAAAGGGTTTCATGAAGATCAGAAAAATAGGCTCGGACACACGAGCGAGCGTTCTCTGCAGTCCCTGGTACCTACAGTGTTGCAGTCAGGAGATCCAGAGGATTAAGGACACCAGTTGATTCCTGAAGTACATTTTTCATTTTATTCCAGTTTCTAACTTACGTTCACATCTGCTTGGCTATATCACAGTTCAAGTCCCACTTATACAGAAAGCCTTACCAGCCCTAAGAACAAATTCCTCCAAGAAGCTACTCCAATGATTAGGTAGTTTATTTGTATGTGTGCTGTAGTATCACAGCATCTGATATCACGTGCCGTCTGTCACAGTATGTCAGTACTGTACAAGCAGTTATACAGCTTCCTCTACCGACTCCCTACTTTCATGTAGTCTAAAAACATTATACAAGTTCCCCTCTATCTGCTGGCTTAAGCCTCAATATTGACTTAGTACAGATAGGAATTTAAGTCTTACAAAACCTATATATAATTTTCAAAGAAAATCCTTATCTTGGTTATTGCAAAAGGCAAAAATTCAGTGCATGGGGAGAAAAAAACTCAAAAAACCCCAAAACGTACATGTTCGGTATGGGCCATTCCAACTCCATCTTCAACTATTTGTTCTCCTCCTTCTATATGCTGAACAATTCCAACTAATTTTCTGGAATAATCTGAGATTTCTTCTGTGAAAGTTCTTATACAGTGGGCCATGTCTAAAATGGATGCACGAATCTGGTTTGCTTCTGGTTCCAAGACAGAATGCTATTAATTAAAAGCAACATATCAAAGATCAATCATAAATATCTTCCTTAATAATATTTTCTATTTTACTGCACGTTTAACATAATTAAATATTTAATGTATGTGTGTGTATGTACATGTATACACACACATATATAGGAATGGCAAATAAGAATTCAAAACCATCTTGCAATTTAAAATGCAATCAGGAGTTACATATTATGGTGAAACTAATAGGTATCCAGCAATTACACAAGTAAACATGCAAATTTGCCCGTTTACCATAATTAATTATAAAAAAAAGAAGGGTGGTTAGACTGCACAAGGTTACGTGAAGCTATTGTTTGGCATGATGACAACTTTCAGAACTGGTGACTCAATGCTGTTAGAAGTTCAGAAAAGCATCAGATAAAGGGACTGTCCATCTTAATATACAAATAACTTATTGTGGTCTTAGAAATTATGGTCTTTCTTGTAATTTTACCATGGCGGTTAAGTGAAATGAAGGGAAAACGAAAGAATAGTATGAAGCTACTTCTCTAAAGATATATCAAGAATCTACTCTTATTTCTTGATAATATTTTGTACTTTAATTGGATAAATAATTATGCAAGCCACCCCATGGCATGACTAGAAACGGATTATTAGCAGTACCTTATGACCTTGATGCTTCCCGTATTCTTTGCAGACACAACACATAAGAGGGCTGGCCTGACAGCCTTCTTCTAAGCAAACAAACTCAATAGCATGCACTTGGTGTTGGGAGCACATGGTCTTCTCGTGAGGCTTATCAGCAAGAGGTACACGCCTGTGTTTCGCTAGTGTCTTTGTAGAATGAGTAAGCTGGGAACAGTCTGCGCACAGGTGAGTGGCACAAACGGTGCAATATACAGATGCAACGTGGGCTTCGTCTTCATCACAACGAATGATACTCTAACAACAACAACAAAGACAGACAAAATCCGAAGTTAACAGTTAATCCCAATACCTGAGGAAAATCAGAAAACCTGACACCAACATAAGCCTGAAAACAGACCTTCTTCAAAAGTCACATATTATTAAATATTTGAACTACTTTGAAAACTTGCTTTTAGGTTCTCAACAATTTTTTAAAAAAATGAAAGTCAGTTTCCTTTACAGTCAACTCCAATAAATTATTCTTGAGATGTCCCGTGACTTTATGAATCCAAACTTGAGTGGAAGCTGTAAAGGTCTGGAGGATAAATAATTCAGGATCCAGTCATCTCCTCTGAAGCAGTCATTATAAAACAAAGGATTAAAAACGTTAACAACAGACAAAACATCAATGGACAATGAGGCACTTAGGATAGCAATCTATTCCTAGAATGGTACTGCATGATACTTTTTGCACACCAGCTGCTAATACTGAAATGATTAAAGCAGCTAAAGCAACCGTTTTCATAATGAAGGACTATTACATGATGTAATGATACCAAATGACTACAAAAGGCAACTATCTGAGAAGAGTTGAACTCTTTAGAAAGAGTTTCTAAGAAGTTTTAAAAAAACCTGTCCTTAAATCACTATAATTAAAATATCCAAATGAGTAACCTTTTCTAAAAATCTTAACAGTCTAAAAAAAGGGAAAAGAGTATACATGCTTTGCAATACCTTTTTATTTTCTGCTCTAGTCAGTAATGATTAGCGTTTAATTATTAAGCAATTAATTGAAGCCTTTATACTAGATACTGAAAGAAAACAGCATTATTAGTGAAATTACACTTGGCAAAGAACTGATTATCACTTTTTTTCTATATAGATATCTTTAAGCAAATGTAACACAGCTTTTGTGGTTTTTAAAACTCAGTACCTCTCCAGACAGACCAATGGCTTCTTCTGCCGTCCCACACTGCCCAGCAGGTCCATTCTGCAACCGTTCCAAGAGTTCCAACAAAGCAAAGTTCTTTTTCAAGCCCCAGACACCGGAATCTCCTATTTTTGAGAAAGAGTCAAACGAAGGAGAGTAGAGGAAGAAAAACCTCAAGTAAATAAATACCATCATGAGAAGTTCCACTAACCACAGTTGACATTCTGACAAATATTAAAATCACATTAACTGAAGTTATATTAACTAAATTGTTAGACAACTTCCACTTCTTCAGTGTAAGCTCACACTACCTTTCCATCCTCTTCCTTCCATCGTGAAACTATTTAATATTTATGCAGATTTTCCCTACTTAACATATGCCAAGATTATTAAAATATTACAAGAACTCAGTAAAACCACCTGTAAAATAATCTGCAATAGTTAACCACTGAAGACAATAAGGAACACACAAACCCTAATATGTATCATAAAAAATATTTTGCATAACTACATAAAGTGAACATTTGTACTGTACTAACACAAGCTGTGACGAATTCACAATGACAAACCTCATGTTCCCTGAATCACAAGATGCAATACTTATTGCAGATCTCAGTTGAGTAAAAATCTGACTACGATTACTTTTAAATTAATTTTATAAAAATTACGTAAAACAATATTCAGAAAGACAGACCCACATACAACACTATTAAATAGAGAAAAAAAAAAAAAAAGAGGATATAACTCAGTGTGCTGGTTTCAGGCAAGAATGAGCTCCTTTACTTCACACTGCTGTCAGCTAACCCAGAGCGGCAGGAAATTGTTGTTTCATTCCAGGTAAGTCAGGATCAGGGTACATGCTCAATATGGATGTGGGAAGTGGCCTGGGGGGGTGTCATTATGACTTTGGGCTAGCTTGACAGCTGGGTCATTAGCTCTTTTATTAGCTCTTGGTGTGGTTGTTAGTGGTGGGGCTGGTTCTTTTGTTAGTGGGTTAAGGGGTCAGCAGGTTTTCTCCCTGCTCTGGGGCTCCCAGGTTGTGACTGCTTGCTGCTCTGGGACCTGGCTGTGTGTTGACTGGCACGTGGTGAGGTATTGTATCGTATGTTCTATTCCATATTATCACCACTACCTATTTATCATCCCTTGACTTTTTTCCACATCACTGTCATAAATGTAAAGACATCTTTTAATCTGTTGCAAGGTAAAGGTGCCTCAAGAGATGAACATCATCTTTGAGCACTGGATCATTCGTTTTCAGTTTTCGTGCAGTGGACACGCTGGAGGGAAG